ATGTTGAGGTCTTCCAGCAGCTTGTTTGCATACTGATTGACAGCTGAGCTCCCACCCTGGACCTTGGCCCTCTCTCTCTTACAAGGGTGAGGATGGCTGAAAACCTTCTGAGGGGGATATCACTGCCTGGCTATTTATTAAGTCATGGTCAAAAGAAAATTACTAAAAGGTTACATATTGTACATTACATTTAGCTTACATTACCTTTGTCTTTTTCAAGTAGTTTGCTCAGTGATTTTTCTGAGCAGTGGTTCAAAGGTCCACACTTTCAGTCCATCTTGCCTCTCTTTAAAAACTCTACAAATGTTTTCTTTTATTGTTTGAGTTCACTTCTTTTTTTTACGGCCTTACTGCAAAGAATGCTGCATTAATAAAGGAGTTTAGACCAGGTTTAGAATCTAAAGAAATACTTATCCCATAACTCATTAAGAACATGAGGCTGCCAAGACACTAAGAAACAAGACTGTCTTTTTAAATTCAGGTGAGAAGGTGGTTTGGTGTGGTGTTGCTCCATCTTTCTGTACCTGTTTGCATTTGTCCTCCGCTCCTTTCTTGTCAACTTCAGCCTGCTCTGCCCGGTCTATTGCGTTCTCCTTATCCAGCTTCAGCATCTGCATTTTCTTCTTGATGGCCTCCATGTTTCCTCAGTTCGTGTCTTCTCAGCAGAACAAGTGTGCTCGGTTATCCGGACAGAGACAGAGGCGGCGGTCGGTAAGAGGTACGGAGGTACGGAGGTGGACAGGAGCGCGCGTGCGGCTTGTCTGAGAGGCTCGGGAAGAGCTCGAGGATGGAATAGCAGCTGGACCAGCGCCAGACTTTTTTCATTGTGGATCTGCACAGGCACGTTGTCCATATTTAGGCAGCGAGAGCTGTCCGGTCTGTGCGCGTGACGTGCGTTTCAGTATGTGAGGATAAATCCACCGTGTCCGCGACCAAGAAAGTCACTGATTTCACTACATTGGCAGGTACGTCAACGCTTCACCTGGTGCGTCAGAAAAGGGAATAAAATAAACTGATAGGCTTGATACATCCCACATATCTGAGGAAAGTTCAAGAAGGGGATAGAAGTGGAAACTAGTCATTTTTCACAAAGCCATAGAGTCATCGCCATCATACTGTATGTTCTTCATACACTCCCACGCCAAAGTTTTAGAATACCTCTGTTCTTCCTGTTATTGTAATTCAACAGCCGAACACACTTGCCATTCGTTCTACAATTGAAATCAAATATTGTTAGAACAGACACCTGTTCCCACAGTCCAGAAGTTCCCACAAATGTGTTGCACTTGTAGGTTGCTTAGCTTTCACTCCTAATCTACAGTCTGGACAGTGTGTTGCCCATGAACCGTCTGAAGCCAAAGCCATCTCGTTCTTTTCTTCTACACAGCCTAGAGTTGCATCAGTTTTTGCGCTAGTTTTCAAGGCTTCATTTACTTCCACTGCTGCAGAAAAGATGGAAATTAACCTACTACTTGATCCCTGAAGAAGGCCTGTTTTATGTTTAATTCACTCTTTTTTTTAGAAAACCTTTTACCCCTTTTTAACTTCTGTATACCCATTCAGGTTATTCCCTGGACGTGTACTGCTTGCATGTAAAAAATAACTACAGTCACTGCTTAGCAGTTGAATGCCTCCGCCAACCTGTCAAATTCACAGGTATGGGACAGAAATGAGGTCACTGACCTTTGACCACCATAATCTGATTACTTCATCTTTGAGTCCAGGTGGACATTGGTGCCAAATTTGAGGAAATTCCCTCAAGGTGATGTTCACAAGGATCTTATGTAAGAAATGGATGTCAACAGTTGCACTGAAAGGTGGCTTTATTGAATATAATTCTCTGTTACAGTGCCCATGAGGTGGTATTGCTGTACACCAGCATTACATTTATACCACAGCTAAGTCAAACGTGTACAAAAGAAAGGTTGTTTGTTCTAGAAAATATGTAAAAGGGAAAAAAGGTGTGCAAGCATGGCATTACTGAATTCTACTGAAATTAGTTATGAATTAAGTGCACATAGTGGGTAAATAGCTGGTATCACATAATTACACCGAAGGCCCTTTGCAAGTACTGATATACTGGAAACAAACAGTGTGATAACATTAAGCCCTTGATAATCAGAAATAAACTGAACTTAATGTACTATTTAACCATAATATCTACCAAATCATCAGGAATACACACTAGCATCACAGGATTGTACTGACAGAAATAAGCACTCTGTCAGACACTTAAATGGCACACGTTGAAGTGAGTCAGTAAACACTGAGCGCACAGATACAGTCAATATGATGTCAAATGTCTTGAACATTAAATATATGGCTTCATAATCTTTACGCAACCAAGTCTAATCTAATCCTGGCCTAAATATTGAGGCCGCTTAAATCGAAATACTAACACAAACAACTTTTAAGATAGCATCTTGTTGTAGATTCATTATTTTAAAGATGGAGCTATGAAATGTATTAAAAATATTTTACTGATTTGTTCTGTCGCAAGTTTTCTAAATCTAAACTTAAAAAATATTTTAGTTCCTTGTCTTTACCTCAGATTTGAACAGTATGACAAATACTGAACATCATTACCTCTAAACATGTTCTCTCTCTCTCTCTCTCACACACACACACACACACACACACACACACACCCACCCACACAAAACATCTGCATAAAATATTTGCATACATTGTTCATAATTTGCATAGAAGCATAAACTGTGCTTGCCTTCCTATTTCTAAGCTCTAACAGTAAGTTCTAACAGTGAAGGCGAGCAGAATTTAATGACAGTACTTTGTCGTTTTTGAAGTCACAAAGCATGTGCACAACGGCGACATGCAATCCAGACAAAAGAATGAAAAAGGAGCCAGATATGTTGAAAAAGTATACGATCATATATAATCAAAAGCACAAATACCTCAATTTGGATCTTAATACAAATATATTTCAGTGTTATCCAAATTTGTAATAATTGGCATTATTACATTTTTGACTTGTAATATTAAATACAGAAACAGATTGACAGAAACCATCCTGATATGCCCTGTGAAACTGGAGTCACTCTGCCTAACATTTCTACTTAAGCATGAAGCCTCCTCTGTTTACATGGAGCTGAGGGAAGGTCCCGAGCGCTCCATGGATCACTGTTACATTACTGATGTGTGTGCTTGGTGCACACGCTCTCATTGGTCCTGGCCATCCTCCCGAAGCTCTGAGGGAAGGAACTTGTACTGCTGCTGTCTGATCATGGCTAGCTTCTTCCTGGCCTCTTCCAGCTCCTTTTCTTTCCGCAGCATCTCCTCCTGAGCGGCGATGATCTGCAACACAACACAGTCTGTCAGCAGGCTGAGGAGACATCAGCTTCAACCACACAACTAATCAGCGGCAAAACAGAACTAGTGACCATTCAAACCCCTGTGGTACTACAACAAAGTTTAGGCTAATGTTCGCATCTTTGTCCCGCTCCTTATTGAACAGAGGGAAATGTACTCGGTATCGGGGCCTATCCAGGAATCTTTCAATGGATCAGTAAGGACAAAATTAAAGACAATCAAATGCTGACCCTTGTTCACTTTTATTCTACTCTAAATGTGTTCTGTCCTGTGCTGCAAAGGTGCTCTCATTTATTACAGATGTTACCCACAATTTACAGTGGTAGGTATCTATGTACATTGTGTGTTTGGGTAGCTCTATTTGTATTTGCATTGCTGTGTTTGGATTCTTTGACACACCTGAGCAATACCGCCCACCATCTTGCTCTTGACCACCACAGCCTGGTCATCCTGAGCATCAAACGCTGCTTTCTGGGCCGCCTTCACCAGGTTATCAGAGGCTCTCTTCACAGCATTTCCAGCAGCCTGCAGAAACACACAATCAGTAAAGATTTCAAAAGTTGAGTGAAGTATGTGAAGTTCATTCCTGACACTGGAAAAAAATATAGTAACAAGAAAACACGCACTGTAGCTTAGGTTCCACTTACTACCTTTTTCTGGAACTTTTCACAGTGGAAGGTTCCAGAGAATGCTAGTAAGGCAACATAAACCAAGTAATTCATTTTATTTTTGTCAAAGGTGAATTCATCAATGCTTAACAGCAGCAGAGATGACTGTGCTTCTTGATAACAGCATCTCCTGGAAAGGGAATGAAAACTTCAGGGACAAAACCATAACAGGCTTTTTTTCCTGTCCAGTGCCTGAGAATAGCTGTAAAAGGCAACAAGCAGCCTGCTGAAACATACACGTGGTCAGACACTTGTCTCATTGGCTAGTTTGGCTCTGGCAAAGAGGAGTTTTTTCCTTTTGCAGCTCTGCGGGCTGAACCCAGACACTGAGCTGGCAGAAGACGGCACAGTCTCACACACACACGCGCGCACAGACACACACCAGTGATTCCTCTTCTGCTGATTTTTTTTTTGCTTGGAATGTCACTGTTAGTATGGTACTGACATACAACATAACACTGTGACGATCCCTTCATGAACTAAATGGGCTGTCAGTGTTTTTCCTCAAGAGGCACAACTTGGGGCTGATTTTCTTAAAATTGACATCAAATCCACTTTTAAAGGCAACTTAGCAACCTGTGTTAACTTGAAGAGGCCTTTTCACAAAACAAAACATCCAAATCCAGGGACATCCTATCACAACCACTGATGAGTGAGGTCTGTGAATTCTGTGAATGCCCATACAGACATTGTTCCTGGAAAGAGACGTTCCAGTTCCATTCACCTCACCTCTTTGTACTGGGTCGAAGGCAGAAATCTTAGAGACTGACATCTCAAATCCTGGATAAACAATACCAAAACTAGAGAGACATTTGTTTAAATAAAATGGGTGAACTGACCCATTCACATTCTGTCTTGTCCATTTGCTACAGGGTTGACAAGAATGTCACACAATGCAGTCCAATAAGTGCAGCCTCCAGAACGACTCAGGGCTGAATACCTCACATGGTGAGAAGAACTGCACAAGTGTCAACAAATCAATGGCAAAAAAGCCTCAGCACAACAACATTACTGTGGTTAGCTCATTAAAAATAGCTCCACCTTTACCCTCTGCAACATTGAATATGATGTGCACCATAATGCATCAATAATCATAATCTAATAATATGACATACCTTCATGTGTACTGTGCTATTCTGCATAATGAGTACTTGACTTTTGGAACTTCAAGCATATTTTGATGCTAATACGTTTGCACTTTCACTTAAGTAATGTTTTCCTGCAGGACTTTTACCTTGTAAAGGAGTATTTTCATGTTTGGTACTTCGGTAAAGAATGAGTACTGCCACTACTGACTATACACCAATCAGCCACAACATCAAGACCCGCCTGACTAATACTGTGCAGGTCCTTTACAGCTCTGACCCATCAAGGCACAGACTCTAAAAAACCTGACGTTTCCTCAGGTATCTGACATCAAGATGTCAGCAGCAGATCCTTAAAGTCCAGCAAGTTGCATCGTGGAGCCTCCATATAAGAACTTGTTTATCCAGCACATCTCATAGATGCTTGATCGGATTGAGAGCTCAGAAATTTGGAGGCCAAGTCAACACCTTGAACTCCTTATGTTCCTCAAACCATTCCGAAAGCATTTCGGCAGTGTGGCAGGGCACATTATTCAAAGCATCGAACTGCATCTCCCAACGTGTTGTCTTCCCATAGTGTATCCTGGTGCCACCTCAGTTAGGCTAAAAGACACACATGCACCCGGTTGTCCACATGATGTAAAAGGAAACGTGATTCATCAGACCAGGCCATCTTCTTGCATTGCCCCATGGTCCAGTTCTGACACTCATGCGCACACTGTACAGGGCTCAGCATTGGTATTCTGACCAGTCTGTGGAGCTCCAAAACACAACAAGCTGTGATGCATTGTGTGTTCTGACATGTCTGGTATAGCCAGCAGTAGGTTTTTCAGCAATTTGTACTACAGCAGCTCTTCTGTGGGATCGAACCATATGGGTTAGCCTTCAATACCTACATGCTGCCCATGACCCTGTCACCAGTTCACTGGTTGTTCATCCTTGGACCAGTTTTGGTAGGTGGGCTACTGACCACTGTAGACCGGTTGTCGAGCCATCACAGTCTGATCCTTGTCAAAGTCACTCAGATCCTTATGCTTGCCCATTTTTCCTGCTTCCAACACATAAACTTCAAGAACTGACTGTTCACTTGCTGCCTAATATATCCCACACTCTAACAGGTGCCACTGTAACAAGATAATCAGCGTTGTTCACTTCACCTGCCAGTGGTTTTAATGTTGTATAGTCTATTTTTAGGCTGGATTGGCTAGGGGCAAAGGTGAGCGGTACGATCTATACAGCTGCTACATCAGGATTAAAGTTCTCTTTTAGCACAGGTAAGAGTGCCTTCAGTACTTTTAAAGGGGTGCTCCAGAGATGTAGTATTTCATTTCTATAAAGGTGGGGCACAGATGTACAAGATAAAATGAGGTGGGATATCACTATGGCAACATCAGATGTGACAAAACTCACTGTTCTCATTACTGTTCTCACAGCTTCAATAGGACTCACCACACTGACCTTTGTGTAAAACTGGGTGGCGTACCCCTTTAAAAAGCCACTTTCTTCTTCAACTCCAATAAAATAGTGAGTCATTGATGGAAATAATGTTACTGAAGTATCTTCTGTCATCCCATCCACTCAAAACTACTATTTTTATTGCTGTGTGTATGCTAGCTGTGAGCACATCAGCCGGTCCAGGCCATCTCATATTCTCTGATCCAATCAGCAATGGCTTATCTCCTCCTCTTCTGGGCCTGCAGCTGCCACCAGAGTAATTCCCATACATTTATGTCTACGGGAGCTCTGGAAACAATCCACCAGTCCAGCCATGGCACCAAGAACTGGAAACATAAGCCTTGATCTATGATTACACCAGCAGCATTTGCCCTCTTCACTCTTTGCCACGCTGCTTTTAAAGGATGTCATCATTCTAAATGCTGAGTAATGTTCATTCTCTCTGTCAAATGTGTAAATATCTGAGGAAAGGACTGTTTTAAATGGTAGCAGGTGGTCCACGGACAGAATTGGCCTATACACAGAGTTACCAGTTTATTTTTGTACCACCTGCAGTAATCCAGTACAGCACAGCAGCCAGCATGGGATGGTGTACATGTTATTCCCATGGATTTCAAGGTGGTTCTTCAGATTGCCAGCCTCCTGTGTTCTTCTATGTGTTTGTTTTATTTCTCCCAATTGTGTGAGCAATGCACATGAGTTTTGCCTCTTGTGCATTTGTGTAGTCTGTCCACTTTCCAGGTCTTCTTAGTAGAGAAGAATGAGCCGTGTGGCTCAGGTGTGTCTGGCTGCAACATCCTCCTGGATCATAATCATGAAGTGTGTTTACAATTTATAATGCTGTCATCCTGATTGTCCATACTGTAACATACTGGAAAAGGGAACCCTCCTCCATTTGCTTTTCATGAGATTTTTTTCTTTTAATGATACAGGTACAACATTTATTGGGCCTCTGAATGGGTTAGTGAGCATCAGGTGACTGTCATTCATGACCAGGGTTGCATGCAAGACGGTTTCTGCACAGCTTTAAGGAACTGGTGTTGCTAGCACAAACAAAAATAAATGAAATAACACCAACGTTTAAATATTTTTAACTGAAACAACTTTTATCTGGTGTCATTCAGTGGTTTATCAGTGAAGTGTAAAAACAGCTTGTGAGAAGCAGGGTGACATCTGCCTCATAGGAATGGGTTCAAGCACGCATTCACTAGACCTGTGTCGCGTGTGCACATGCTGTCTGACAGGGTTTGAGAATTGTATGTTTCAGAATTGATTTTGTCTGATTTTACCATGAATCCCAGTGTTAAACTCCTATGATCCATCTGCTTATCCTTCCCCTCAGTGGTTACAACAGTTAAGGGTGACTGAGCTCTGAGTTTCCCCTCTGACAGTAGCAGCCTTAGATGTTATCTGGCAGAGACAGTGGTCATGTGTGTGAAGCAGCTTGCTAGACATCAATATGCAGTGCTCACCTGGAGCCTCTTCATGGTCTGGGAGTCCTGATCAGCCTTGACCTTGCAGGCCACGAGAAGCTGAGCAGTGGAGGCCGCCACCTGCTTGGCTGACGAGATGAGCTTCTCCTCGCTGGCGTGTCCCTGCACTGCAGAGTTGGCTGCTTCACACAAGTTATTGGTTGCTGCAGCAACCATTCGAGCCTGAGGATTCAAAGGCATCGATAGTAAGATGTTTTACTAATAACTGAAAATTCTTTAAGAGAAAAGCTGGAGGAAAGAAACTTACAGCTGAGATCAGCCCCTGAGACCACTGTCCATCATCCACCGCATTGGCTGGGATTGCTCCCACCTGAAAACAGAGGAAAACTGGCTCAGTGGATCCTAAACCTTCACATTTGGATGGCAGTAATGGAAAAATGCATCCTGATGCATGATGCTACATTTAAATAAATGACTAAAAAAGATAAAAGAAATGCTATTCATGTTGACACTGTTAGGGTTGGTATGTCAAGCCGTGTGTCTTGGTGGCATTTGGGTGTAAAGACAGGTGTGCTCCAAAAATGTACCAGTGGTTCAGTAAAATACTTATTCAAGTCACATTATAGTGCGCGACACAGATGAAACCCACAGTTAACCATGTTTCTGTGGAGGGTTTCAGTGTCATCTGCACTAGCACGGTAGGTCTCACAGTATATTCATCCTTGACTTGGGTTCATACGTACCTTCCCTTGAGCCACCAGCTCCCTCTGTGCTGCTGAAGCAGCTTTGACCAGAGCACTAGTGGCAGCTGCAATGGACTTGGCTGCCTCCAGAATCTGCTCCTCAAAGTTCAAGCTCTCATCTGCCTCCTGTTTACAAGAGAGGTCAACCAACAATAAATAAGCAATCCGAGTCCCACCCTTAAAAAAGTTATCAGGGATGATCTACAGCATGGGGAAAGCTGGTGTCCAGAACAACTTTGAAATGGAAGAACATTCAAATGCTAACAGGGCAAGGTGTGTGGGACAGCCATCATTCATAGTGTGAGGAGCTGACAGCACACACTATGTGTGACCCTGTCCTGAGGTTACCAAGCCCAGTGTGAATGCTGCTTGCTCTAACCTTGGGTTTGGTCCTGGGCCTCAGCAGCTGCCGCTGCTCCCAACAGCTCATTTTCAGCAATGACGGTGGGATCCTCGGGGTCGACCCACTCTGTGCCTACAACACATACAGACAGAGCTGGCTCAATCTGTGCCTGGAAATACCCAACACAACAATTTACACTCTTCACCGGGATTTCTAGTAGCTGAATATTGTATAACGGCTCTGCTGAATCCTTTGAATTCATTTTAAAGTGCTCTTCATACAGATCATTTTAAACATGCTTTTGTGCCCCACTGCACACATTAGATTGTCCCTCTGCCACTCTTCCTGATGTATTAACCACTTTTCCTCTTGGATCCTGTTCCAGCCCTGAGGCTAATGATCCTCATACCAAATTGTCTCTTCTCTTTCTTACTGCCAAACAGCAAAGTCTTCTACCTTAATGTACTGTATATAATGCATAGTGTGTTGTGTATGCAGTGTATATTTACTTATGGATATGTAAGCATCCAGAGTTAACTTGCCAAAAAGGTACTGTTGTCTTACTCATGTGCTCTCCCACTCTTGAACCTACCACTGTATAGTTCATAGTGATGATTAACTGACTTCAAAGCAAATATTTGGTTAAAGCAAATGAAGAAGTGTAAAGGTAGTAAGCTGAGCAAATATTTGGTTAAAGCAAATGAAGTGTAAAGGTAGTAAGCTAATAGTTTAATGCATCAGATACGTTTCATCAACATGTCATGTCTTCTGTTGTTCATCTCATTTTCAGTTTGGAGCTAATTTGGCTGTGATTCACAACAGTGGTGTTTCTGTCCTCTCTGCCAACAAGGGGTCATAGAAGAATCTTTTAATTCTTATGTATTTACAGTACGACTTCAGTTACTTGCAAAGTATAGAAGCTTAACAGAAGGGATAGGGTGTTTGGAACAGCTCACACTTGGTAGGTGGATCTCATGCTGGATTTCTATAAGACAAAATCCCACTCAACAGTCATCACTTAAATAAAGTTATGAACCTACAGCCATGCAGGCAGCAGGGTTCAGTTGCAACTAGTGTCTCTCAAGCTGCAGCAGAGGGACATCAATCTGTAATATAAAGCTCTGAGGGTGACTTTCCTTCACTTTGATGGCTGAATGCCTCCATGGACATTGAGTTCAATGTAATTTGGACTTGCCTCTTAAGAGGGGGAACCCAGAACAGAGTTGTGTGAAGCTGTAGAACCCTGAGGGGTGTGTTTACTAATCCTACTTCAAATTACTGCCAGGGCTCATTTGCATGACGTGCTCTAAATACTGCCAGGTTATTTCAGCATTGACTTGAGGACATCTGAAACACAATGTGCTTTGCTGTCAAACTTTTTTGATACTTCCACAGGGGCAGCACCAAGTCAGAATTTCAAGCAATATAACTACTGACATAAAATGATTTAATGTATTGCCACCAGTGCTATTTTTAAATGCAGTTAATGACCCTTACTACCATGGTGAAGCTAGTAGCAAATGTCTGGTAATGGCTGGTGTTATTCTTCCAGCTATACAACTGCATCAGATCAATAAGGACCCCTGATACCATTTCATGCAAATTGAAAGACACACACACTGAGGAATATAGTTTTGCTCAGTTATCAGTGTGTTATTAAAGATGTCAAAGGTTACGTTACCTTTCATGGCCTCAGCAGCCTGGATGAGCTCAGTGACAGAGCCTGCAACCCTCTTGGAGTAGCCAGCCAACTGTTGTTTCAGATCATGAGATGGTTTCTGGATGATCTGTGGGTGAAGGGAAAAGTTCTCAACTTTTAATCCAACCACTCATTTTCTATATTACTGGTGCTAAACATGTTTACTCTAACAAATTAATCAAATCCCAGCATGCGCTAAGCTAATACAATGATAAAGGTGGGTAAGATTAAAGTACACATATCACAAACACTAACTCATAGTCTTTAATAAGAGAAACAGGTGGAAAGACACGAGCCCGGATCAAAGAACACGGTTCACTGGTCCTGTCGAGATCCCCACAGTTGAAGGATGAAGTCCAAGACTCATGGTGAAACAACATTATCACAACGCATGTTAAGTTTTCCTGTTTTATCTGTGACCCACCTGTGTATATGCAACTTGAGAGAGGGGAGGAAACTCCATTGGGGGCCCTATTTTGTTGATGGTGGAAAAACCAGTTTGGCATTTTTCTGACTGTAAAATTTGCTTTGCCAGTCTGTTTGTGAAAAACCTCTGTTACTGGTGTCAATCTGCTGCCACTATGGTGATTTTATCAACAAGAGTAAACAAAATATCGCCCAATAATGACAAAATAATGCTTAAAATATAGACCAACCATTGTAAATAAACACTCTAACCAGTATAACTTGGCATAAACAATTTATATTAATGTGATTAAAGCTGGAGCTTCAGTAAATCAGCCTGCACTGATCTATAAATTAGTCAGTTCTTCCATTAAGTTGTCAACAGCTGCTTTATGCTACATGAAAAGCTTCTCCTTCAATCCAAAAAAGCTGAGCAGTGTTTAACTTCATTAAATCACATGCAAATGACACTAAGCTGCTGCAGTGTAACCCCATACACATCAGACTGGTCTGTTAATGACTTTGTGTTATGCTGTTTATGTGTGAGATGTCAGACTGCAGCATCTTGTCAAATCTGTATGTCACTGCCTTTGTTCCAACTTTATTTATTTTTTTTGTTTTATTCTGAAATGCATCACAAATGCCCAGTGTCCCATTCTAGTGTGATGTCATGAGATTTGATTAAAATAAAAGGACTATAGTGTTAGACTGGCCATACAAATATTTTAAGTATTTATTTTTACCATCATTGTGCATGTTAAATAAAAACCCACACCATCTGCCTCTGGCTGCAGATTTGTGGTCACGTGTGTTATCATGCTGCTCTGCGCCATAAATTGGTCGATCTGTTGTAGTCATGCTTCACTGTGGTTGGCTCAGCTGTTTCAGAGCTACAGTATGAGAGCTTAAAATGAATTCATCAATTACTACACCCTGCAATCTGTAAGCAGATCTCAGTTCCATTAACTGCATTCACATTTCCATCATTTGCATCTTTCCCTTGGCTCAACAAATTATATTTCAACCTGAAACATGAAATTTAAAATAAGGTTGATGGTCAGCTTCACTGATGTTGCTGCTGTTTACAAATCAAAATATGTCATGCCAACCCCCATGCATTAATTCCTTTTTTTTTTATACTAGGGGTATAATTTAGTTTTATATTTATTGTAAAGCACTTGTTAGGTCAGTTTTGATGAGTACTATAAACTAAAGTATAAAAATATAATACTTTGATTTCTTCAGGTGTGAACAGTGCGACTTTGTCAGCAGCTCTACTACAGAGAGGAACAGTTACAAATATGCCAACAAATGATGTGCCCATCTCATATGTGAATGAAAATAATGGCAGACCAGTTTGATTTGTTGGTGTTCACATGTGTTTGGGTTTCAGTTGGTGTCCTCAGACTGTCCTAGGTGGACATGAGGTATTCAGGTTGGAGCAGTGTTTGACAGGTGCAGGGCATTAACAGGGTTCAGCCCATACCCAGCTCAAGTTCACTCAGATGTGTTGTCATGTGAAAATAGAGGCGACAATATAACTGCATAGGAACGAATGCTGGGGCCAAAGTAAAGCCACGGGGAAACACATTCACTCACTGCACAGCAACAAACTGACCCACGCACGTTCAGGCAACATATGTGCCGAGGGGACACCATTACCAGGGTGTCGCAGCTGAAACAAAGTTAGACGAGGGGGAAACAGGGCACGTGGTGTGATCTGTCACACAAACACAACTTCATGCATCAGTTCTAGTAAGGCTGATTCAACTGTAATGTTATGAGGCTGGAAGGTAAAAAGTCCCCTTGTGCTTTGTGTTAACGGCAGTCCGTCAACAACAACCAAAACATAGCACAGCAGGTCAGCGCGCGTACTGGGTTTCCTACAGAGGTCAAGGACGAGAGAAATTGAGTGTGGACAAGCTGGCTGGTTCTACGCCAAGGCTCAGAGGGCAGGAACAGATGGTCTGATCACATCTACAGTGCTGGTTCCAACACCCACTGCAGTAGGTCTTAATCACCGAGAATGGAATAATGGTTTATTTACATTCAATAAGAATATAAAATATACCTCAATATCAAAGTTAAAATAAATATATAAATTTAACACTCAGTCTCAGAGGTTAATGTGATTTCAACTGCACATGTGTAGTTATTTCAATTCCATTCAGAAAAATTCAGCTAATTCATCACCAAGTATGTATATCAAGTCCTCCCTGTGTTCTCATTGGCCCAACTTTTCAGCCACTCAAAGTCTGGATGGAAAAATGGAAATTGTGACCATCTGCAATCCCTAACAATTGAAACTGATATAGTAAACTGTGAAATAGTCAAACGCTCCAGAAAAAGCTACCAAGTTGACCTGAATTGCTTTAAAAAAATTCAGCTGTTTTTTATAATATCATTTGTGCAACAGGCAAATTGCGCAATGCCCTCAAAAACTGTTTCGTTACAATATGTTTCTTCTAGTTTGATGTGATCAGAAGCTTCTGCATAAATGTTCAACAAAAACAAAACACCCTCGTCTCTCCACTGATCCCCATCACTGTTGTTTCTGTCCTTTGTGTTTATTTTTAATCATCTGTGAGGGGCTGACACTGAATGATGACAACAGGTGATGGTTGAGGTTCCTTCATCGTTTCCACTCCGACAACCTGTGCACACAGCTACTGTCCAAACATCCCTTCCTGTCCATAAGCACAGCTGGTTTGTCATCTGCTGACATGCTGCAGATTGTATTCTACAGGATTGCTGTGGTATAATGTATTAGGTGAAGCACTCAACCAATGCAGCCCCACACTTGTGCAGATCAGTCATATGGTGTACTCACCGGCTTGCAGCAACATCAGTGAGCCACAAGTTTAAAGGAACATTGACAGAGCATTTGGGAGAAGGAAAAAAAAAAGAGGACATCAAACACATGACAACTGATCCCAGAAAGATGGAGAGGTTTGCATGCATGCAACCAGCATGCTGTGAACCCTATCCCTGCAAGCTCCAAACATCTCTGGGACCAAACTACTGCATTTATTAAAGGAAATGACTCCCACATGACTATATTTTAAAAAGCTTGAGCAAATTAGAAGGTGCACTTTTAACATATTTCAGAGACAACAGATGTCATGGAATAATCATACATACAAACATTTAGTCCTCAGTGGGATGTACAGGTTATCTGGGAGATGATGCGATTCAAAACTTGGAGTACACAATCTGGCTGGATTTTATCAAAGATGTTATTCCAAATGGCCTCTTTCTCTGTGCTTATTAAATGATATTTTATGGCGCCATTTTAACAGCGCAATCAGTGACCAGCAGAAAGGTCATGTGTGCCAGGTTAATGACTTAACTCAGTTCATACCATTTGAACAGCTGTGCCACGAGGAACACTGCTCTGAGGTGAGGTGAGCACACACCGGCCTCTGCTGCCATGTAATACGTATAGTGTTGGTGTCTGAAGTGCAGAGTTGCAGAATGTGAACACAGCAACAAACAGAGGATGTGACTGTGTGCATTGCGACATTTGTGGAGCCGGTCCAATGCAGGACACACCCAACCTCCTACAGTAGACTGCCATTAGGCCCTGCAGGAAAGAGGCCGTCCACTGTGAGAGAAATGGTGTTATGATATTATTATATTCCTTTTCTTTCTCCTTGCGCTGCTTTTTTGAGGGGACGCAGCTCTGCACCCATGCTGCCCCATGTGAAGGCAGTCTAGCAGAGCTGTGCCTGTAGCCAGGCAGAGGCTATCAAAGACGGTATCCAGAATCGCTGAACTTCACCTGATTCTGCAGAGATGTGTTTGACTATGTTGCAAGAGTGTCTGATATCCACCGAGGCACTACTGAAAAAATTTTTTTTAGTGCAATAAGAAAAACCTAGTATTTTGAATTTTATTTTGATGTTATTCTAAGATTTTCTATTAAAATAAAGTCAGTAATGACATTTTTTCGAAAGTATCGAAAGTATCGAAATACATTTTGGTACCGGTACCGGTACCAAAATGTTGGTATCGTGACAACACTATGGTGTTATGATATTATTATATTCCTTTTCTTTCTCCTTGCGCTGCTTTTTTGAGGGGACGCAGCTCTGCACCCATGCTGCCCCATGTGAAGGCAGTCTAGCAGAGCTGTGCCTGTAGCCAGGCAGAGGCTATCAAAGACGGTATCCAGAATCGCTGAACTTCACCTGATTCTGCAGAGATGTGTTTGACTATGTTGCAAGAGTGTCTGATATCCACCGAGGCACTACTGAGCCTGATACTGGGTGTTTTAGCTGGAGCTGGCCCTCCATTTTTACTTAGAAATTAGTTAATATCATCCTCTGCCAAAGAAATGTATTCAAGATTGCTGAGGGTGTGTTTATAAAAGAACCACACCGTGGCCATTTCTGTGTTGTTTACTCTAATTTTATCTTCATTCAGGCTGGATTAGTTTATTTATTTCACTCCTCTTCATGGTGGCTACTGCTGCTTATTCTAAATACCAAGTTATCTGTGTTAGTAATTGATCATAGCCACGTTAGTGTGTATGAGTAAAGATGTCTTACCACCAGCACATGCTCCAGCAGTCCCAGATATCCAGAGGCACACTCTTTGCCATAGCGCAGAGCTCTCATCTGGACATCTTTGTTGACCTCTGGGTGGTAGGCCGCTTCCTGAAACAGCCAACAGTCAGAAATCAACATATACACCAAGCACAGACACTACAGGCAGAAGGGCATTTAGCATGTTAAATGGTAAGGCTTATAATGACATAAAGAGCAAATGATATGGTCTTCCATAAGAAAAATGACAGTAGTAAAAGGCATTTTTCAGTTGATAAGTAACATTGTCCCAAAGATGAAAGGGAACATGGTCCAGTCAGAGATGGTGAAGTAATTATCTCTGCATTATCTTAATATCAAAACATTACAATATTTCTGAAAGGTCTCAATATCACAGTTACACACATGTTCTAGGTAAGCCAAACTAGTAACTGTGTACTTTTCTGAATAATTTGTGTTGTTAAGCATTCAAGATCTGAGGATGTGATAGACTATAAATGATTGTGGAACTTCTCCTATTCCATCATTTAGGCATGACAACTGCTGCTGTGTGGACCAACCTTGCAGGAGTGCAGCATATCAGCGATGGCCCTTCTGCTGAGGTTGGCTGTGGCAATGACATCTTCTTGACGACAAGAGTTCCCAGCAGCCACTGCCTTGGCTGTTGCCATAGTGATTCCTTTAGTCGTGCGAATGAACTCCTCTGGAGTGGTCTTCTTCGGTGGTGGGTCAGAACTGCTGAACACCTGCGCATCCAACAGTCATATGAATGTTATGCTACAGTGTCACACACACAGCGATCTAAAAGAATCATTCTTGCTGTAAGGGGTGTGGTTTCAGCCGGGGCTAAGCTACAGCATCCCCCACTGGCTGGTGTAGTACAGAAGCATTTATTCCAAACACATTCCTATTTCAATGTTTATTTACTCACAGCCAGCTCCTGTTTGATGTGTTCAATAGTAGCCTCCAACGCTCTGGTCCCTTTTGTGGCTTCATCCTCCACTGCCTTCACAGTCTTCAGGAGGGATGTTACATTGGTCACCATCACCTAGAGCAGCAAGTCAGATCATAGATTAAACTAAAAAGCACTGCCAGTCGATGAACCTACATTCACAGAGCTCTTTAATTCTGTTTTAACAGTACAGAGCTTCTCACACCCCTCTTTTCCAAACTATGACTGAATTTTTTCATGCATTGCTCCACCTCATATGAAACAGAGCAGGGCGCCCAGAGATAAAGCAAAAGTCAAAGTAGATACATCTCATGTGCCTTTGGGTTTTGTATCTTACCTTAGCAGAGTTCTTAAGCTGCAGCATGCTGGGGTCATCGTGAGGTTTGCCTGCAGCTGCCTTGGTGGCACTAATGAGGTTACCCAGAGCTTTGGCCACATCTTTCACTGCATTGATCAGTACAACCTGTAGAGTGCAGATCACAGTATGTACAATTTCACTTGATGCTTTCACACAGGAAACTGTACCTGCACGCATGAAATAGCAGCTCTGCCCAAGTTCATGTGCCACATGTGGGTTTATGAAGGTGTGTCCTTCCATACTGTATATAGAATACACCATAGATAGCAGTCATCACAGTTTGCTTCCCTAGTCTAAAGGATCGCAAAATAAATAGAGTTTGACTTGCCAGTGCAACAGGTCTGAACAGGTCAGTACAGTTCAAATAATTTTCATTTTTTTCCACGCATGTTTGAAATTCAAATGAAAAGTGACAGCCTTAAAAGGACACAGACAGGTGAAACACGTACCACTGTACATGCTTAGTGACAGGCAGTTCTGTGCACTGTACCTGAGTCTCTGGGTCTTCAGCACCCAGGCTTGCAGCTCCAAATTTGACCACATCGGCCAGTTTGGTGATGGTGGACACCGAGGACTGGGCAGCCTGAGCCAGTTTCTCCTGACTGGCTCCAGCACCGGACACCAGCAGCTTTGTGTCCTCCACCAGAGCCTTGGCTGTTTTCAGGATGTATTCTCTGCACATAGGTAAATCGCAAAGTCACAAGCCATTACTGAAGAGCTCCAAAAATGCAAAAACAAGGGTAACGTATTTAATGAAGACATGTCCTCACGTTTATGCTAGCCCCTGTCCCTTTAGCTTCAGTAACTCAGCACAATCTACTGTTCAGAATTTCATTCATCTCTCTTTCTGAAAAAATGTGTTCCTGGCGTTTACTTTTCATATACTAAGACATATCACTTCCACTACAGCAGTTGCTATGGCACGTTTACATCTTCAGGACTTTATTAAATTTAAACAATAATTTTGTTGTGAACACAGAAAAAAAAAACTACACTTTGTATGAATAAACAAAGTACAAAAGTTTGAATACTTAATATAAATGACTGTAACTTAGTTTAATCCATATCCATAGAGCTCCCAAACACACTTTTAACCTTTGTAATCTCTGCTGGCTAAAAAGTTCTACAATGTTCACTCCTCCTGGACTCAGCTATTTTATTAAATTGTGACATTTATCCTGCAAAGATCTAGGGCTTATGGGAAAAGTCATTTGAACACTAATAAATAATGAAAACATTTTTTCCAAAAACTACTGTAATAATGTAAACATGCAGTATGACATGACATACTGAAAGGCTCTGTTCCAGTGTTGAATTTATCATTTTTGGCACAGTTACAAAAGTCAGTGGGATCCTGAATGAGGTTTTCTTACTTCTGGAACAGACCCCCAAACTCTGGTTTGACTGCAGCTCTGTGCTTCTTAATACCTGTGGTCAGCAAAGGTCTCTGCGTTCTCTCTGTTCAGAGTTCCAGCAGTAGCAAACATGATGGTGGTGTCGAGGTCTGCGATGATTCCTGCCACAGCACTGGCTGCTGTGATGCAGGCCTGGGTGCCACGGTTACCTGCCTGCAGTGACGCCAAAACATGGGAGACCTGCAAAAAAAAAAAAAAAAAAAAATCTTTTATGAATCAAATTTGGACTTACTGTGCATATCTGTCACGATCACAGTCTTTCTCCCGTCTCCGCCCCATGTTTTCCCTGTTGCTTTAGACCCAACCCTTAGGTTAATCCCATTTCCCCCAACTGCATCCACATTTCCATGCTGGAAACTGGACTTGCCAGCTGAACTTCAGCCAAAGGTTTGAAGTCAGGGAACATTACTCTCAGAAAGTCATTAGAAGTTGCTCTGAATGTGGGATTTCCCAATCCAGAAGCACTCACTTCACCAGGAGGAATCCACTGCATGTGCTCCTTCTGGCCTTCAGTGCCTGGCTCTTCAACGCTCTGTCAGCTACCAGCTGGCAAGATGTGTTGAGTACAGTATAAGCTGTCTTTCATCCACTGAATCATTTCCTCTTTCACTTCACCTTGGCAATTACTGGGCTTTCTAATAGCCTAACTTTAAGTGCTGATAGAGCTCCCTCAGTGTTCTTATTTGTCAAATGAAGGACAGCCTTCTGATTTTTTTTGGCACTATTATCCAGGTCACTTCATTATAGTACAAGTATGAGAAAATGTCACATTGATGGAGTGGTGTTACAAATAAAGTGCCTGGAGATGCACATTTGGCTTAGCAGGTTAACACAACCAACAGTTATGTCCCCTGTTTGGAACATGTGTGACATCTCTTACTCCTTTGTTTCCTGTTGTCTCTTCATTATGGGCATTTAATAATGGCATAAAATAACTGAAAAAAGAAGTGAAATGATTGATCGTGGTCTGACCTTCTCAGAGACTTTGCGGGCACTTTCAATCAGTTCTTTCTTGGTGAATGAGTCGTTGGGGTTGCACTGCAGAGCTCCAGCTTTTGTTACTAGACCTGTGCAGGTGAAACCCAGCTCACTGACTTGCTTCTTAATGTTAGAACCAATCTGAAAACAAACAAGGAAATCTGCTCAACAGCATCAAAATGATCAAAAGTGAGACACAAGGCGCTGACATGGTCTGTAAAGTGCTTCAAAAGAAAAGACGAGTTGGTGGGTTTTTATTTACTTCATCATTCTCTGCGGTCATGGCTGCATATTTGGCCTCATCTGCCAGATTTCCAAACTCATTGGTCAGCTGGTTGGCCAGTCCTCCAAGGTCATCAGGGTTGGTGTTAGACTTGGTTACCTGAAGAGAGATGAGAATATATATTCGCTGAGTAATAACTAGCAAAGGGGCCTGATAGAAATAAGAAGCAAGGCTCGGACTACCACTGGGGGGAATGTGGGAATGAATCACTGAACCAGCTCTGTGGTAGGCTATCAATGCCAGTTTGTTTTCTGGACCCCTTAGAATGCTAAGTGATATAATTTTAACAGGATTTACTACTTGGCTTCTTAACTTCTCAAAGTATTTTACTTTATTTCAGAATGGAAGCCAGTCATTAGAACTGTTTAGGCCTGTTGGATGAATATAAAAATGTCTCACCATCTCCTGCACAGTGACAGCAATTGCTTTGGCCGTCTTAACCATGGTAGTCTGATAGTCCACAAAGGTGCCTTCAGGTTCAAGTGAAGGTGTGTCTTCCATTTTATTAATTGCATGATTGATAGACTCCACCATGCCACCCACAGCACCTGCTGCACTGGCTGCCTCAGCCAGAGTGGCACCCAAGTCGTCTACTGCTTCTTTCATCATCTGCACAGACTCCTCCAGGGCCTCCTGCATGTGTGCTGCCTGGAAAAAAAATAACACATTTGAGTGGGCAATGCTGAAATATTCAAAACTCAGTACCGCAAATAAAAAAAAAACGCAGAACTGGAATAGTGGAACTGTAAAACGAAAGAAAGGTCTTAAGGTCACCAGCGAAGAGAGATCAGAACAGAATTTGTTAGAAACTGGGGGAATACAAAATAATTAGCCTCTGAGTTAATGCAATTTAAAATTCTAGTGGGACATTCCCCCTCATAAGCTTATAAAATATGATGAATGGCTTCAAAGCCACCCTCATGGAGATATTTGCATAAAAGCACTCAGTGTCATTATTAATAATGATAACATGTCATAGATCAGTTATACACCAGTCGGCCACAACCATAAAACCGCCTGCCTAATAGTCTATAGGCCCAACAATGTGGTTAATATGATGAGAGAGGGCCCACAGTGCCAGACTTGGAAAACCCCTGTCCTAGCAGAACCATGTATACAGATAAAAAAAAGGGGAGCCAAGGATATAGCCATAGGGAATGCCAGAAATCAGAGGCACCACAGAAGAGGAGGCATCACCATAAACTACTGGATCAGTTCTGTTTGACGAGTCTGCTTTAATCCAGTATATGGCAGGATCCCAACCAATGTGAAAAGAACTTGATCCAACAAAACTGCCTGCTGAATTGTATCAAATCTGAGCTACAATTAAGTAAAATTAATGATGAACAAATAGATAATATATAACTTTTATAGATAGGTACCACATCATTATACATCATCATCATCATTCAAATCCCTTCTTATAGCTGTCTTTCATAGGCTTGCTTTTACATATGAATGGAGGCTGAACTGTTTTTTCCTTTGGATGGTGGCTAAACAGGCAGTTGTTGAGTGTCAGGAAGTGAATAAGAATCTCCAAAATACACTTTTAAATATCATATTATGTTTAAGCTTAGAAGCTTAAAATCAGGACCTTTCAGTGTTAAGTTCAACTGGAGCAGCTACAATGCTTTGACTTTGTTAGACATGGCTTACCAGCAATGTCACATCACAAGTAACATACAGTAAATATAGAAACTATAATGAAGACTACTGAGTTAACTATTACATACATTCTTATTGTGTGTATTTTTCTCTAAGTAAGATTAAGTTGATTTTTGCTGGCTGATTGGCATGGACATTTAGGTAACAATTGGAATTTAAAGAACAATAGCAACGTAATATACATAGGTCTGAGAAATCTCAATCACATTATTTTCCCCAAAGTGCAACCTTTGTATTATCATTTGTTGTGAGGATCTCACTGATAACTGAAGCTGCCATTAATGTTCGTGAAACCACAATACATACAGAACAATACGTACTGTGTTGCATTCACTGCACCATATTATTGGTCATATGCTTTGTTGCACTCTGCAGGACTCAGTCTCAAAATTAATGGACAGTGTCATTTACCCAGGTTTCTCTACTAGCTTCTCCAGAGGACGCTAGTGAATATGATCAGTATCAGCTTCAGTACCTTAGGGTTTCCTCCAGCTTCTTTGGCAGTGTAGAGCATTTGCAGGGCTGATTCCGTCAGGGTTTTGGTCTGGTCTAAGACAGCCATCTGTTGTTGGCTGCTGAGGATCTTAGACGCTGTGCCAATGGCCGCCATGATCAGGGGCTCAAAGTAGCTGGCCATCTGAGATACCTGTGAGGAACAAATTTACATATGACAACATGTTCCAAACAGATTCTGAAATAAAATGATCATGTCAGGCTTGGACAAGTTCTAACCCAACTTAGTCTTGAGACTGACCATCAGCTAGTCAACATTCATAGTACACTGTGTCAATTTTTACCTTGTGACCCAGATGGGAGGCCTCAGAGCGAGCAGCCACAGCCACAGGATCAATCAAGTTACTGATCTCATGAACTGAGGCAGCCATCTGCTCATGGAGAGTCTGCAAAACACACGCATACAAGATGAATTCTTATTCTTTCATTCAAGCACAAATTTACCTTCATCCTCTCTGGCTGCCAATAGACTTATTACAGATGTATTATTACAGCTCTTGGATGACAATTGGCTCCATGTGATCCCTCACCTGTAACACAAGGTCACTACTGATCTTCCACAGGTGGTTTCTGACTTTCACCCACTTTACTGGGCAGAGGTAAGTAGGTCCTCACAAAATTGAAAGTTTGTGCCTACCTCCATGGAGATGTCCTCTCGGGGTGTAAGCTGCTGGCTTATGGCAGCCAGAGATGCCTGATCGACCTCACGGATGCAACCATTCAGCACCTCAATAGCATCATCGCATTCTCTCTGGCCAGGAGCCTTTTCTCTGCACAAGTACACACAAGAGGGCGAGGGTGTATACAATAATTAAGAGGATGCAATAAGTGATTACTGTCTCACTTTGAGACTCTTGAAACCCACTTGACAATATGCTGAAAAAAAAACTTAGAAGGCAGCTGGTTGTAATTTAAATTTTAATTCTAAGTTTTTTCAGCATATTATGACCTGGATGACAGAATTTGCACAGACATGCTACTTGATTATACGTAAGCAGAGAAACAAATCTTACTAAAATGTTCCTCAGTCTTCTGATTTTACTTCATTCAGGATATACAGTATATATATCTGGGCTAGTAGAGTTTACCTCATGCTGGTGATGAGTTTTTTGATGGAGTCAGACACAGTTCTGGAATGTCCAGCCAGCACTGACCATTTGGGGGGGTCTTTGGGATTGACAGCAAGAGAACGGGCAGTCTGGATCAGGCCGGTGGAGCTCTCCAGCATTGTCTTTGCCGCCACCACAATAGGCTCCATGGCTGCATGACCCTGAGTATGAAAGATAAGAATAAAAAGAAGTAGTGAACTATCAGACCATGCTCTCGCTTCATTTCTGATTGAACTTACTTGCACTTGTGTACCTCACATCTACGATTAGCTATATCAGTAAAATTGTTGCAATGACTGAGTGTTTAGGTGAGGACCTACCTCAGGACTGATCTGAGCAGGAAGGCTGGCAAACTCTGGGTTGGACGCGAAGGCAGTCAGGTTGTCCACAGCTTCTATCAGAGGACCAGTGGCAGCCTTACATTTTTCTCTGTTCTCCTGGTTAAAGGCTCCATCCAAAGCCTGCATAGGGGGATAGGGCATTACAGTCAAGATTACACTGTACTGATATGTCACCAGAACTAAATCAGCTCAATCAAAACCACCCAACAGGCTATACTTCTGGAACAGGAAAGCTGTGCTATGACAGCTGAAGGAGCATACTAAAGGTCATAAATGAGCTGATGGGCTCCTTTTTATCTCCAAATTCACCCGCCTCTCAAGTGCCAAGTCATTTAGTACAATGATCAACCAGGACTAGGAGGTCTATATGCTTCAAAAGATGAGCTTGTCAAACTGCCTAACAACATTTGAAAATGCTGCTCTCTACACCACTGCAAAGTTGGAATCAGAGAGCTGTCTTTTTTTGTATGGAGGTGTCAGAGGAGTTGGGGTTTGAGTTTCTCTCTCATTCTTGACAAAACTACTTCCGTAGTATGGTCTTAGAAATGCAAACCAAACATTTGCTTTGGCTTGGCACAGATTATCGAATGTTCATTTAACTGATGATGAATTTGAAAGGACTACAAACCTTTATGGACTTGACCAGGTTAGCAGTGGTGTTGGCCACTTCCTTGGCTGACTGGACAAACTGCCTCTTGGCAACAGGGTTGGCAGTTCTGGATGAGGCCAGGCGGCAGGCATTACAGAGGGCAGAGGTGTGTTTGGCCACAATGGTGGCAGCAGACAGCACCTGGGCACAAACACAGTGAACTGGGTTGACATTAAGACTCGGTGTTTGAAAAGAAGAGGACTGCCGATAAAACTGGCCATTAGTGTGATGTTGCAGAGTAGTCAAGCATTTACCTGGGACTGTGTGCAGGCTGGGTCCACCAGGTTCTGGCAGGCCATCTGGATAGACTGATTAGCCCG